TGCCGGAATCATCCTTGATTGATCGGATTAACCTTTGAAGCTTCAAAAAAGGAATGGAACAATGTCATTTTGATGTATTCTAGCACAGTTTGAATGGTGGTTGAACTGACCAATGGAACATTGGATGAAAAGACATCTCGCAATCGTTTCGCACTTGTTCCAACTCCATTATTGTTAAAAAAATACTTGAGCCAGTAATTTTCAGTCTCAAGGAAAAAATCCTTAGCGACAAAGTGATTTGGTCGTCCGCTTGGTGTGATTAGGAGGGAATGTTGTATTGCGTGGCGGAGGGCAGGGGGGAGGACTTTGGTGATTAGGATTATCATTCTAGGGAGGTGTATTGCGTAGTGAGTTAAACCTGTGATGCCTTGTGCCATCACCGACCATCTTCGCCAGATATTTAACAATCGACCAATATCTCCCGCCTTCATCGATCGATCAGCCTCAACTATTGTAGCAAAATCACGTAATCGAGTCATGAGGTTGAACAATTTGGGAGAATTGAAAGTTTCGGCCTTTTTGAGTTGAGTGCAGCCAAAGAATCGATCATAGCATAAGTTGATAACGTGGTTGATTGATTTTGCTTTCAACTTGATCTTCTCGTTTGGTAAGCTGGTTCGAGGGATTCCCATGACAAGTCTAATTCACAGAAGTTCAAATGTCAGAGGAAAGTGAGAATCAAGAGGATGTAGAGAAAGAACCTTACAGTAGACAATGGATAAGAGTGACCTCGTGAATCTTCTGGATGCTTGTAAGCATAAGAGTGAAGTCGTTTTTTGCGGCTGGTTTTTCTGAGGGAAGTCCAAGGGCTTGAAGAGTCCTCCAGGCACCAAGGTCGTCTTGAGTTTTATTGTTTCCAAAATGCTTGAGATAGATTGCTTGAGCTATATTCCATAGGGTATGAGAAGCCCCCAAAAGCATGAAGATATTTCCAAGGCTATCTTCCTTGTGTCCGCTCGGTTTTCTTTGGCCTCGCAAGCATTCCATGTTTTGGAGAGTACCGAGGTCGCCGTCCATGATCTGCAGCTCTGAGAAAAATTCGTCAGGAGTCAGATTGGTTTGTTTGATGATATCAGTCAAGATTTCGCCAATGCCTTCGGCGCAGTTATCGGATGCCAACATTAGTTCAAACATTTCGATGTCTGGCTTTTGAGCACGTATTTGATCAATCGAAGGTGGCTCGAGTGGAATTGAGCTCTTTGGATCGTCTGTTGTTGCTATGTAAGACATCATAACTTGAGCAATTTGACTTTTGATGGCATTACAAAAGTGAGATTCCTCTTCGAATGTTGGGAGAAACATTGTTGGTGATATCTTGAGGTTAACTGAATCTTTAATTGCCTTCTGGAATTGACTCATAGAGAATTCTTCTGGGTCGGCTTCGAGGATGAGACTGGGATCGAGGGTATGAACATAGCCCCATGTTCCATGGAACATGTGGCTAGTCTTTTCCACTGATTTGAAATGAACGCGCTCCTCAAAGTCGATATTGTCGATGCAGAGTAGGGGCGAGAGAGGTTTTCTTGCAGAGACAGAGAGTTTTTGAGCAATTCTCTTCTTTGCTTGATGACCCAATCGATCGAGAGCTGAGAGTGCTGTTTTCCGCGACATTGTAAGTCCAATGTAGTGAAGGTAGCTGTTGATTCGTTCGGTCACTCCGCAGGCCAAGAATACGACTGAGTTATAGAGCTGCATTGAGTTTGCCCTTCGGTTCTCTCCAAATGATACCATTGCACATACTGTCTTTGCTGTCTGGATATAAACAGTAAATAGTCATTAAAATTATCAGGAAACAAAAAAAAAACAAA